AGTTGCTGAAAGCAAAAGCGCCTCAGCTCCATCGAGAAGCTTCGAGAAGCCTTCTGCTCCCAAACGACGAAACAGCAGATCCTGGCCAAAGGCGTGACAAAAGAGCAGTCAAAACAGATCAAAACGAAAGACTAGGGGGAGTGACCTAATATTAACGCTGTGGTCCAGATAAATGGTATACGAAACATTCAATTGCCCGTTTGTGTCATATGATTCAATATGCAATGATGACTTGCTGTGACCGACCGTTTAGTACAGCATCCATGCTCAACTTCACCACGGTCGTTCGCCGTCGGCTTTCTCTTCTCCGCCAGCTTGTGGGACGTCACAGGCAGCAAATTGGATAGAGTTTACCTTGAACAAATGCGCTGAATGGACCACATTCGAACCATTCCACTCACACTTGCCCCAGGATATAGATTCACAATTGCTGCGCTCCCCAGCTGCGGCTGCCTTGGGCATTCCCTTCTGAGTCACAGTGATTCCAGAAGACCGCAAAAACCATGTCTTGCTTTCAGCAAGACAGGTGAAAAATACAGAGTCCTTCGTGATGCCGTGATGCCGCCACGAGTCAAGTTGAACATGGCTGATGGGTTGTTACTTAGGCTTTCTACAAAGGTCTCAATTCCATTCTACAAAGAAAGCAGGTCCTGCTTTGGCAGAAGCTTTCGTACCAGCCATTCTGCAAGTAGAGGGTCCCACAGGGTCTAAGGGGTGAACCTTTTCTGGATGCCAATGGAGCCGTTACAGTCTAGTCTTCGTGTATGTATGTCTATATATGTAATTCTGAGCATTTGCCCCAAGCCCAAAGCTTGCAGTGGCTCAATGCAATATCGTTCCTTGGAGACACAAGAGCACTTGCAGGGCAGCCGGAAGACGGCAAACAATGGCCACACTTTCTCAAAGTCTGACAAAGGAAGAAACAATGAAAAGGACACATCTTTGGCATGAGACCAATCAGAAGACATACGTCACAGCTCGTGGGGTGGGTAGAGGAAGGAAGAAAGAAAGCAAAGAAAAAAGAAAGCCCTAGAGGTCTGAAGAAAGAAAGAAAGAAAGACAGAAAGAAAGAAAGTAGAATCACTAGAATCAGAACAGCTGGAACACATAACCGTTTCGACAACCACATGGCTTGGGTACTTCTCTGTCGCTACGTGGCTTTAACACAAAAGCAGCCTTTTCTACCTCTGACAGCTTCCATCGCCTCATTAGGCCTTTTTTGTAATCTTTTCAGCAATCTCAGGTCTTGGCGGCCTCGACTGATTGTGGACGGCCTCGAGAAGACATCAGCTCCAAGACTCCAAGAGTGGGAATAGACAACACTAGAGCCCCTAGTAGCGTCCGTGTTCCTAGTAGCGATGCCCTTTGTTCCTATAGAGCACTGCTAGAGTGTGAGTCAGAAAGTCATTGAAAGCGGTTCAATCAATCTCGGCTATAGGCTATAGGGCCTTACAGAAGAAAAAGGTGTCAAAAGGGTTCTCTCAAAATGCCGAGACACTCTAGCAATTGATTTCAATTGAAAGCGCCCGCGTCCTTGCACAACCAATATGGCTGGCAATCTGTCCACAGAAACTCATCAAATTCAGCCAGGTTGGCAGCCAGAGCTAGGCAGCTGCCTACAAGGCTCTTCAGGCAGTCTTCAGCTCTCTTCTAGCTGCCTGGCCGCTGGCCGAGTGGCGAGCAGATGTGATTCCCTTATTTTGCGTGCCTGACCCCGGAAGACGCTCTGAATCTTCGTTGCCTTGGAGAGAATGTCCACTTAAACACTCGATCAAAATCAGCTATGCTCAAAGGAACAAACTGTGCACAAAACGCCTCAACACATCTGAGCAGAATCTGTTGTTCAGCCAAGATTCTGCTTCTGCCTCCTGTTGTGCCATCTTTTTCACTGCCTCGCTTTTCACAGGATTAGAAACTAGGTGGATGTGGCAAGATGTAGGAAGTACAGTGGCTTCTGGGTGATCAAGTGGCAATCTTGCAGCTGAAGGTCCTCACGATCCTTGCCACCACGGTAAAGACTCTGGATCCGCAGCGCCGCTTGCTCCTCTTCCTTTTGGATCTCCTCGCCCCATGGTTCCCCTTTATTCGAATCATCTTCATCGCCTTCAATTCGCTCACTACTCCGGAGAGAATATGAGAAGCACAGGAAGGAGAGCAGAAAGGTCATAGACAAATGAGGAAAAAGACACGCCATCTTCCAAGAAAATGAAAGTCCTCAGGAGTTGGAGCCGCTTTCTTTGGCGGACCAGACCTCAAACTTGCTCTGACATTGGGCATCTGCCAGCATCTGTGGCTTGGTGCCATCACCCGATTTCCAGATGGTTAAACAATGTTAAGTTATATTAACAGCATGAGAATTCTCTTCAGGCATTCAACAAATGATTCGCTTCAAGCAAACAAGGAAACAAACTAAACAAACTCACCGGCCATTTGCCATCGGGTCACGTTGTGGTTTTTTCTGCCCAAGCATTTTCCTGAAGGGCCACGTTCCCGAGATGAAGAGTTCGCATCTGCCAAAACCATCAACCCTCACATGACTCATGAGATGTCATGACAAAAACTGCAAACTAGCAAAACCTGTCCAAAAGCCCATGACTCCCTCCTTGGCAAGGTGTCTTCTGACCTGCTGTGCTTCATGAGAGACCTGAGCATTGGTTCGAACCCACGTCGGTTGTAATGAGACCGTGTTGTTCGTCCTAGTAAGGCCAGGAGCCCCTAGTAGTGTCCTTGCCCCTAGTACCGATGCCAGGAGCCCCTAGGTAGCGATGCCCTTTGTTCCTAGTAGCTTCGTCGTTTTCGCGCCTGAAAGAGCCGAGGCGTGGCGGCACGTTCATAGCGAACACAGGGCGTCTCCAAGGCCTCACCGAGGACGGGCAGAACGGGCGACGCCGGCGACGCCTAGCAGCTTCTTCCACCTCACGTTCCCCCCCGACAACAGAAATATCACAGGGCGTTAAGTAGAGGGCACTACGAAGAAAGACGCAGACCGAACAGGAGCCATATGGAGCCATGGTTCAAACATGTTCGAATGAGCCACAGATGACTGGGCCTTGTAACATTTATGGTCCAGTTCTGACTCAGATTGGTGTGGTTCCCCTTGGTTCAAGGCTGGTAACCTTCAACCCTGAAACGGGAGATGGTTTGTAGCTCTGTGCCTGATCCAAACGCCGTACTTTGGCTTTGTCGTCCTGCGCCGATGCACAACTGCCACGCTTCTGAGAAAGCAGCACTAGCATGCAGCATGCTGATTTGAAGAACATCAGTGCCTGTCCTTCGTCGCCAGTGCCATGTTCAGCATGTTTTGCGCACGGGAGCGCCCTACTGAGAAAGGCCTGGATCAGAAAGCAGCTTGGAGCAGCTTGGCATCGTCCAAACTGCTGTCGACACATTGTCTCACCTGCTATCTTAATCGTGTTAGTCTATCTTACATCTATAGCAGAGTGGCATACGGCATACATGTCATGCAGCCTAAGTTGCCAACCGTTCGTTTTGTCTCATATCTCCCACTCACGTAAATTACATTCATGCAAGCCACGTCTCCCCACCTGTGAGGTTCGGGAGGGTGGCTCTGGCGTGGTGTAAACTTTTGCGTTGCAGAAACCTCCTGCGCAACGAGCAGCAGGAGACAATGCTTTTCACTGCTCTGGTCCATGAGAGGTGGCAGGTACTAGTAGCGTCCTTGCTCCTAGTAGCGATACCAGGAGCCCCTAGTAGCGTCCTTGCTCCTAGTAGCTAATCTGATTTATCATCTGATCTTGTGCATTATCTGGTCTCTCGCGTAAGGAATTGATATGATTCAAGCTGAGGCCACGACCCAAGGAGCCTTCAAGTTTCCCAAAGCTGACACCATAGCATTCAATCCTACCTGAGATTAACACACTCCAGAGTGACACACAAAAATCAACAAAAAATCATGCTCTGCTTACAAGGTGATAAGGCAGGCAAGGAAGGGCAGGTCATGATCCCACTCTGGCCTGTGGAGTAACAATGTGCCGGGCACTCCGAGAGAATGCCGCATCGGAGTTGCAGGTTGGTGTCTTGGTTTGGCAGCTTCAACAATCGAGAACTCTCAAATCACATCACAGAAGCTGAGGGTTCCTTTGGCCCCTGACTCTAGGCCGAGTACACCGGCTGCTTCGCCTAAGAGACTTGCGATGTTCTTCTCAACAGATTCAAATCTGGAAGATAGAAGCAAATCAGCCTTGTCTGAGGCTACACACGGTGTGCCCAAACCATGCGGGGAGGACATGACCAAAGGTGGTAGAGGCGGCATGGCCTGGGTCAAATGACCAAGCAACAAAGAGCCCGGGCCCTGCTGCTCTCCACCGGTTGCTACCCTATCGCTTCATCTGGAAGATGAGAAATGATGGATTTGTCCACATGTTCAATCAAACCATGACGGTGCACCAGCCTCGGTGGAAGGCAAACGGCTACGCCGGTGCCCGGACAAGGTTCAGCCCGAATCTGTCCAAAGACTCTGTGCAAACTTGTGGATCGGTCTATGGATTCGGACTGATCCAAACTACCTGAGCCCTGAACGGCTTCAAAATCTGGTGAGTGAACTCGCTTTTCCATGCTTTTTCATGTGCATGTGAGATCTCATTGCAGCTGCCATTGTTGAGAAGAACATAACATTTGAATACATTTGATGTCTTACTCAATTGGAATGTCCAGCGGTTCCCTGATGGTGTCATTCAACTCTGTCTATCAACCGGGGCGGATCCGAGAACGTCCTCCACAAGGAATCTGGCTCGGGCGTTGTCCATCTCGCGAACCTCAACTGCTCCAAGCTGCAAGCGACGAAATGCACAGAAAACAGCAAGAAACCACTGGAATTGGTGCCCTTCTGCATGCACTGCTGCCTGAAGCAAGTCTTCGGCTGTGACTTCTTTGGCCGTCTGGCGGATCCTGCATCTGAAGCGAAATTCAAAGCATTAAACATTACTACATCTAAAGGTTCACAAGCTTCAAGGTGCGCAAGCGCATGCATCATGGGTTTTCTCGATGTTTTTCTGAGCTTCGTGATCTCGGCTTGTCTTTGGCGTGGGAAGCAGCGAAGCCCAAGTGGCTCGAAGCTCCATGCGGCATGAGATCGCCCAAAGCTAAAGTTTGGCTTTCAGCTGAACCTCCGGGAAGGGAGCTCTCCTTGATTCACCTTGGTTGAAACGACATGGACTGCCAATCCCTGCAAATCCCCACAGCTATTCACAGCTCCATCTTGCGACTGCGGTACTGAAGTCCCACAAGTCCTTAGAGTTGCAGAACCTGCCAAAACCATGTGAGTTCTGACAACTTCAGAATAACCACTGGTACAAAATCCATGTGATTGCGTTCTGGCATGTTTTGACTGCATTGTCTTAGAAAATATCCTTTTGGTTTCCAAGGCTCATTCACCGGGAGTTCTCCCCGAGTGTGCTCTGGTTCCAAAGGAGAGAAAAAGAAGGCTACCTTCCAGCGGTGTACTCCAGAGTCACAGCATCGAAAGATTGAAGATAAACATGAAGCACAGTTCAACACACTCAAGCGTCCCATCCTAAATATATATTAATTATATAGATCGATATAGATATAGATGTGGACCTTACCTTTCACCAGACTCTATACTCTTAGGGCCTTGGCCGGTTGTTCTGTCTAGCAAGCTCGTCAGTTTGTCTTGTTGCTGTAATGTTGTCCCGATTGAAAAACGCAGCTGGCCTTCTCATCTGTGATCTCATCCAAGGCATCCCAGCTTGGTTTCCAATTCCTGAATTCTTTCTCGAGTCATGCTATCCAATTGAAAAACATGAACAACCCATGACCAAACCATAAGCGTCTTCATCTTCTGGGCGAGCTTCTGCCTTCGATCCTTTTCCACGAGTACAGCGCGGATGCCTTCCTGAGAAACAGCGCAGTCAACTTCCGCTTGGCCTCGTTCTTCACGTTTGGTTTGTAAGTCTCTTCAAACTACATCTTGGGACCAAGGGTCGAAAAAGTCCGACAGTGGCTGGGGCCTTGTGGTAAATCTTTGTGACAAACGGTATTCCATCCTCGGTATTTGTGCCAAAGCCAAAGTGGCATGTTGTTTCAATCCAGGTCCATAGTCCATACCTCACTTCCTCACTTCCGCTGCCTGAACTCTTTCTGGCGTGGGCCAAAGCCCCACACAGAAACAATATATTTAAATGCTGCATCAAATGCACTAAGACATCTACAACCCGCCTTCAAGCCGGTAGGGGAGATTCCCAGAGTCGTTCACAAGCGTTGCCAAATGAGTTAGTGCGCTTGAAAATGATGGCGCTCTGTTTTCACGCCTGCGTTTGGGCCTTCGATCATGCACCAGTGCTCACATGCCACCATAGGATAGCTAGGTAGTATGAGTGATAGGAAGGGTGATTGGAACTCCGTTGAATGCTGTCACCCCCTGCATGGTGGCGTGTACGCACCTGGTGCTCTTGCCCACCCAGATGCCTTTTCGATAGGTTGGTTCACCTTTGTGCTTCAATGCCGCGACATCCTTGAACAACACCACTTCTCCCCATAGGACCACCTTCCCAGCATACCTTCTGTCTGTCATGGCCTCAAATGAAGTAGAACCATTGATGACTCATGCTGCATGCCTGAATGCCCATGGATAGGCGTGGAGTGCACCTTCACACCACTTTGCTCTTCAGCATAGGTCCTCAGAGTGTTGGCAAGCTTGCGCACGCTCTGCACTGTCCGCGTTGTCTCTGCACGTATCTCTGAGCTGAGACCCACGCCTGCCCGTGCATGTTCGGTGGCACGGAGTATTTGGCGAGTTGACCTTTCACGGTCTGACTGAAAGATCACTGGTTGGGCATTGGACACCTGAAGACTAAAGCGGTGATCTCCTCGGTGATCTCCTCGGTGATCTCCTCGGTGACCTGTTTGAGTGAGGTGCTGCCCTTGGCCAAGACTGGGATGCACATGACAGCCTTTGACTCTGATTCAACTACATAGACAGCCGCGCCAAACTGTTTCTCCTCCGGCTAACCGGCTGTGAAAGTGAAGCCATAGTCAAAGCTAATGATGCTTCGTCCCCTGTCCTTCTTGTCACCCTTCTCGCTTGCCGGCCGGGGATCTTCTTTCGCCCGAGTTGCCACACAGGTCTGACACCATGCTTGGGGCGCGTGGGCAACTTGGGCGTCTTCAGTGGCACTGCCTCTCTTCTGCTCTCAGAGTACAGCCTCCGGGCAATCTCAAAGGCCATCTCAACACCTTGATCTTTTACCCAGAGGTGGGTAGTCCAAGCTTCTTGCATGCTTCTTGCAACTCCTTCAACTTGTTCTCTTTGGTGAAGATCTGTTCATCCACTTGGACTTCAATCTCCTCAGGGTCGATGAATTCGACATCCTCCGCAATCTCTGGGCTAGGGCGGGTCCTTCACCCTCTGCAGCTAGGACAGGAATCTCTCCTCCTGCTTTCTCCTCATCATCTTCAGGCCATGATGCTGGCTCGTCTGCCAGCGATGGATACTGGCTGACCGGCACCTCGGCGGCGGGCACGAAGTAATCTCCAATGGGTCCTGGCGCAAGGAAAGTGAGTGCAGCTCGTGGTCCTCTTGGGATCGTGGCGAACCCACATAATCCCAAACATTTTCAACTTGCTCCCATAGCCCTTCACCTCGAAGCACCTTCAGCAATGTCAATCTGCTTCTCCATTCTTTCCCAAAGCAATCACAAGGGTCCAGAAACCTTGCAGCCGTGGGATTGGAGTGCACCACAATGCCATTGGGTAGGGCATGCCACCCTGGAACCTTCTCTAGCAAACTCAACTCTCTTGAGATGTATCCCCTCAATGCCTTTCTGTTTTCATGAGCTTGGACGGGGAACACCTTCTCAACCCCATCAACTGGACTGTCTGACAGCTCGATGGGCTCTTGCTTCACTGGAGTGAGAATACTCTTCCATTGCGCCCATCTTTGCATGCGCCCTTGAACATGGCCATCTTCACTGCTGCTGCCCTTGACATCTGTTTCCCCGGATCCCTCCGTTGTGTAGCCGGGGGACCTCTCTGGCTCTTCAATCCTTTGTTTCTTCTTCATGGGACTTTCCTTGGCCAACTCCTCCATCAGCTTCAACGTCTCCTCATCCTCCATGTCTGCACGACTCAATGCTCCAACAACAACGTCATCACTGCTTGCTGTCAATGTTGCATTGTTCACCACAACACTGGGATCTGCAGCATCTGTTGTTGGAACTGTTGTTGCTGTCTCAACTGCATTGCACTGCGCCTCAACCTGGCTATTTTCTGTCATCTCGAAGTCCGGTGCAGCCTCTGACTCGAATTCCGGTGCAGCCTCTGCAACTTCTTCCTCCTCAGCTCTGATGGCACAAACTCTAATATCCATCACAAAAGAATTGTCCTCCAGCCGAGTGGGAATCTGGACTCCTTTTGCTGCATGCTCAACGAACATTCCATCTTCATCCCTTGACAGAGTCCAGCCTTGCTTCAACAATCGTCAATGGGTGCGTCACTCGTCTCCCAAGAGCAAAATGCTCAATGAATTCAACAACTTCTCCATTTCGTGAAACTGCTTTCAACCTCAATCTCCTGTTGCCCCGACTGTGGATGATCTCACCTTGTGCGTCGACCATCTGCACTGTCCTCTGTCATGATCACAACTGGTGGCTCTAATGCTGTGATGTAGGGGACCATCGACACTCTGACAGGCTTCTCTTCATCTTCAACCTGATCGTATTGGGCTCGAAAAGCTACGGCCCTTGTCTGCTCCTCAGTGGTGTTCAAGGGTGTCTCATTAGGCAGCTCCTCCATGCACTCAAAGAACTCCTCGTCCTCCTCCAGCAAGTCGTCCGCCTGGCTCTCATGAGGTCGGATGGCCAACACTGGCCAGGACTCCTCCTGCTCTTCCATCTCCTCAGGACGGTCTCCCTCGGCGGTCGAAGTTGTCCATGGTGGCCTCAAGCCTGTGGGCGTGACCAGACGTACACGCCTGACACCAGCTTTGGCGCTGGTGTGGGCATGTGGCCTGGTTGACCTCTCACTCGAAAGGCCTTGGCTCTGCGTCGACGTAGTCGAAATATAGTCTTCTTGACATCACCTCCATCATCTGTTGCAACTTGTTGTACTCGTTTGGGAGCCCAACACTCTTTGGCAAAGTGACCAGCCTTGCGTTGTGACAAAGCAAAGCTGTGCCTTTCCCTTTCTTCCCGGTCGACTTGTCTCCTGTCTTGCCGCCTTTTCCACCCTTCTTGCCACCATCCTTGGACCAAGAGCCTTTGCCTTTGCCTGTCTTGCCCTTCTCTGATCCCTTCTTGCCACCTTTCTTCCCTTTCTTTCCTTCTTTGGCCCATATTGCATCCACCTTCATGGGGACGGTCTGATCGTCAGCAACTGGCTTGATCCCCAACTGCCATGCTGCTCCATCTGTTGTCCACCGCTGACTGACCGTTGTCGAATGTCGTCCTGCAAAGACATCTGTATATGTAGTCTCAAGCTCGGGGGCAACGCTGACACAACTGCTGCAATCTTCAGGTCATCAGGGTATGTGACACTTGCACTACGTTCATATTCACGAACCATCATCTCATATTGTAGCAGCTGTTCTGTGACTGTTTTGCTCCCATCGAATTGGACTCGATTCAAAGCTTGTACAAGGGCCAATGAGTCTCGTCTTGGGTTGAAGGTCACGGGTCAATGTCCTCCATGCCTCAAGTCCATTCTGGCTTAACACTCCCCGCGCAAGACGCTGTTTCATCAAACCTCATCGTGGGGTCCACAGCACCTACGAAGGTCTCAAACTGAAATCGCCAGTCCAGCCACTTAGCTAGTTCCTCTGCGCGATTCTCTGGTTGGAATGTCGTAGGGGGTTTCAAGTGCTTCGTGAACCCACTGCTCTTTTGGACCTCAATCAGGCCACGCAAAGCCTGAACCAAGCCCTGAACTCCAGCTCCAGCAGCGCCACCAGTGGAAGCAGTAGCTTCTTCCAGCGCCAGTCACGCCAGCCATGTGGCCCTTTATACTAGTTCGTGTGGGACTTCCACAAACCGTCAATCCCCAAGGTGGTTTAAACCCCAAAAGGGAACCTGGAGCTTGTCGGGGCTACCGACAGAGGCTCCGCTACCATGAAAATGATGGCGCTCGGTTTTCACGCCTGCGTTTGGGCCTTCGATCATGCACCAGTGCTCACATGCCACCACAGGATAGCTAGGTAGTATGAGTGATAGGAAGGGTGATTGGAACTCCGTTGAATGCTGTCAGCGTTCCTTGAGGCCAGCAATAGGCAAGCCTAGCGGCGTGATGCAACAGTTCAGCTTGGCCTTCGGTTCTGAACGGAAACCAGCGAAAACTAGTAATTAGACGAGTTCTCCCCCTCTCTCTCTCTCTCTGTCTCTCCCTCCCCCACACACATGAGAAAGAAATTGTAAAATTCCTTTTGAAGGAGCCTTATCTGTTTTTCCCTTTGTTTTCTCTCACTTTTGCGCATACATGTGTCTGTAGCACTGGGCCAATGCTCATCTGCGCAGCTTCATGCATTGCCCGTAGAGCGACTTTACAGCTTGTGGGAGAACACGACCTGGGCGCCAGAGATGAAGGTGAAGGAAGTGGCTCACTCTGGCTAAAAAGCAATGGCCTCCACCCTAATAGCGATGGCCTCCAACCTACCCAACGATGGCTGGCGATGACCTCCAACCTAATATGCCTCCAACCCACTAGCGATGGCCTCCAACCTACTAGCGATGGCCTCCAACCTAATCATAGCGATGGCCTCCAACCTACTAGCGATGGCCTCCAATCTACTAGTGATGGCCTCCAACCTACTAGTGATGGCCTCCAACCTAACTACTAGCGATGACCTCCAACCGAATAGCGATGTCACCCAACCTACTGGTGAGGGCCTCCATGCACTAGCGATGGCCTCCAACCTAAGAGCGATGCCCTCCAACCTAATAGCGATGTCTTCCCACCTACTAGCAATGGTCTCCAACCTAATGGCCTCCAACCTACTAGCAACAGCCTCGAACCTACTAGCGATGGCCTCCAACCTAATAGCGGTGTCTTCCAACCCAATAGCGCTGGCCTCCAACCTAATAGCGATGGCCTCCAACCTGATTACTAGCGATTGCCTCCAACCTACTCCTAGCAATGGCCTATGGCCTCCACCCTATAGCGATGGCCTCCAACCTAGTAGCGATGGCCTCCAACCTACTAGCAATGGCCTCCAACCTCGTAGCCACAAAGTGCTGCGCCTGCCACAAAATCTGCACATGGAGGTTCACAAAGTGCTGCGCCTGCTACGAAATCTGCACCTCGAGGGTCACACACTGCTGTGCCTGCCACGAAATCTGCACCTGGAGGTTCACAAAGCGCTGTGCCTGCCACGAAATCTGCACAAGGAGGTTCACAAAGCGCTGCACCTGCCACGAAGTCTGCACATGGAGGTTCACAAAGTGCTGTGCCTGCCACGAAATCTACACATGGATGTTCACAAAGCGCTGTGCCTGCCACGAAATCTGCACATGGAGGCCATGGAGGTTCACAAAGTGCTGTGCCTGCCACGAAATCTGCACTTCAAGAAACAAGTGAAAACTCTAGACTAGCCACAATGGAAGGACGATTCCGAGCATGATCCGACCATGACCCGAGACCGTCTCGCAACCGACATTCCGCGGAGCTTCCCCGTCGAGGTTCGGAGAAGCATGGAGGTTCACAAAGTGCTGTGCCTGCCACGAAATCTGCACGTGGAGGTTCACAAAGTACTGCCCCTGCCACGCAATCTGCACATCGAGGTTCACAAAGCGCTGCGCCTGCCACGAAATCTGCACATGGAGGTTCACAAGGTGCTGCGCCTGCCACGACATCTGCACTTCAAGAAACAAGTGAAAACTCTAGACTAGCCACAATGGAGGGACGATTCCGAGCATGATCCGACCATGACCCGAGACCGTCTCGCAACCATCGTTCCGCGGAGCTTCCCGTCGAGGTTCGGAGAAGCATGGAGGTTCACAAAGTGCTGTGCCTGCCACGAAATCTGCACATGGAGATTCACAAAGTGCTGCGCCTGCTACGAAATCTGCACCTCGAGGGTCACACACTGCTGCGCCTGCCACGACATCTGCAGATGGAGGTCCACAAAGTGTTGCCCTGCCACGAAATCTGCACATGGAGGTTCACAAAGCGCTGCACCTGCCACGAAATCTGCACATGGAGGTTCACAAAGTGTTGCACCTGCCACGAAGTCTGCACATGGAGGTTCACAAAGTGCTTCACCTGCCACGAAATCTGCACATGGAGGTTCACAAAGCGCTGCGCCTGCCACGTAAACTGGAGCTAGAGCTATTGAAACTAGAGCTAACTGGAGCTAGAGCTCTTGAAACTAGAGCTAACTGGAGCTAGAGCTCTTGAATAGAGCTACCTGTAGCTAGAGCCCTTGCAACTAGAGCTAACTGGAGCTAGAGCTCTTGAAACTAGCGCAGAGCTCTTGCAACTAGAGCTAACTGGAGCTAGAGCTCTTGAAACTAGAGCTAACTGGATGATGAGTGGTGTCTGATGAGTGGTGTACGATGAGTGGTGTATGATGAGTGGTGTCTGATGAGTGGTGTCTGATGAGTGCTGTATGATGAGTGGTGCCTGATGAGTGCTGTATGATGAGTGGTGTCTGATGAGTGGTTCCTGATGAGTGGTGTATGATGAGTGTCTGATGAGTGGTGCATGATGAGTGATGTATGATGAGCGGTGTATTGATGAGTGGTGTCTGATGAGTGGTGTATGATGAGTGGTGTATGATGAGTGGTGTTTGATGAGTGGTGTATGATGAGTGGTGTATGAT